ATTTGTTATCATTTCATTGTTTCTTAGAAAGTGATATTATCTGCTCTTTGCAGGAAAGTAAGTCTATTGGCGCTGAAGTAAATTGGGGTGTGAGATTCAATGATATGAAGGAGGTTAGTATACTGATGCTCTGTATAGCCCACTTTATAGTTCCTTATCTTGCAAACTTGAATCAATAAAAATATTGACATACAAGTGGTTCCAGTGCGAAAGCTTCCTTATAAACCTTTGCAAGGAAGTGGCATTGCGATTGCACGGTTGTGGAGTGCAAGGGCGAACTTTCACCCTCAAGGTATTGGTTCTTATTTATCCCAAGTGAGATATTTTTGATCTTACTCATTTAGCAGCTTCCTTTTTAGTTGGTTAGCACCTGCAACTATGTGCTGTTTTGTTCCTTGAGCTAGAATGCATTAATCAATATAATGTACTTCATATTCTTCAGTCTCAGCAAAAATCATATTTCTGATTTCCATTGATATATGATTTAGATCAAAAAGAGAAAAAAAGATGCCGAAGAACCTGCAAAGTATATGGGCTGCGGAGACTGTGAAAATATGAGTCACTCTGTGAAGGTAAATAAGGAAATATGCTTAACATGTGTGCTACTTTGTCTTGTTGTCTTGTCTAAGCTTTTTATTTATTTTTTTTAAATTTTATATTTCTGGGACTGATTGTGTTGTTTGTATGGTAGATTCCGCTTGCTACTGATTGTGTGGATGAAATCCAAAGAATAGCAAAAAGGCTTTTTGGACTTTTCCACATGGGTAATTCAAACATGTCCTTCTTAGTCTTGGAAGGGATCCATATCTTTCAATAAAAATTTAATTAAAATTTTAAACATAATCTCTATTTGGTGATTTGACATAGATGTCAAGGACATTCGAGGTGTTGGTTTGCACGTTTCCAGACTTGAAGCTGCGGATGCTTCTAAACAAGGTACCTGTTTATTTTTAGTGTGGTTTATTTATTTATTGCTTTTTAATGATGTGTGTAACATTTCGTGATATGAATGTGATGCAACTGATGTATTGGTTTTTGCTTTTACGAAAAGCAATGGAAACTTCTTTTTATGCCGAGATTTGCAGCCTGTGAAATGCTATGGTTGTTTTACTTTGCAATCATCATCATCTGTAATCTCCCATCTTTCTTTCATTGATTTGAAGGTACAGAAAAGAACTTTCTAAGATCCTGGCTGGCTTCAGGCTCTACAAGTATGAGACAAAAGAGTTCTCCTTTAGGTAATTGGAAATTGTTGTGGAACAGTGGGTAACTCTGTTATTATTCATGTTATTATATATGTCTGTGTGTGTGTGTGTGTGTGTGTGTGTACACGATCTCCCTGTCCCCTGCCCCTTCCTGATCCTCATTTTTGTGATGAAGTTCAATAACTATATTAAGGGGTTATACAAACTCTTTGGTTCTTAAGTTTCTTTTCATTTACAATATTGGTCCTTATAATCCAATAAAAACTTGGACCATTTTGCCCTTTTAGGGACCAAAACATATGGTTTGAAATTTGAGAGACCAAAACCAAAATGATGGCGAACTTGAAGGACCAAATATTATATCAACCCATTTATTAATTAAAATAACTACTGTTTGTTTTTTATTCTACAGTTCATGACAATAGGAATCTGGTTGAGACTTCAGGTCAAGCGTCTAGAGATTCAGACGGGCTTTCAGTTCAAATGGATAGAAATTTGATGAGTGATCAAGTTAGCTCTGGTCAAATTTCAACTCCACCTCCTCTATGTCACCTGGATGTGCGGAAGTTGTAAAGAGTCTTCCACCAGAAGTCTTCTCAGAATTAAATGAAATTTATGGAGGAAAGCTAGTTGATTTTCTTGTAAAAGGGAAAGGGAAAACTGAAAGCACTAGTGCCTTGGGAAACTTGTTTGTGGAGCAACGAGAAGGTAATATTTTATATATCATTATTGCTGGGCTGGTTCTCAAATTGTTTACGTGCTTGCAAATTGTATTTCTTAGCAGCTATGAACAAGGAACAAGAGCTTCCCTTTTCAGAGTCAAATCCTGAAAGCAAGATACCAATAGAAAATAAGGTAGTTCTTATGCTATCCTGCAGATTTCTTCTCCTTTTTTCTTGTTAGACCTTTTCCATGATCTCTATATTCCTTGGCTTACACCTCCTATTAGATGGGAGAGCTCAGATTTATTTGAAACAGCTTTACTTTGCTTCTCTATGTGCCTTCAATGATCTCCATGCTTAAGTGATTAGATATGAAGGGATTATTTTATTGTGTTTTTAATCATTCCTATTTCTGGGAAACTGATGCAACTTGTTTGCAATTTATATAGACACGTTCTAGTCCTAATTAATTCTCAGTCCTACTATTTTTGTTTTGATTAGGTCTTATGCTTTTATTAGTTGATGATTTTCTAGGAATGAACTTGTTTGTTTACATGCATATTTCACACTTTTGTCATTTAACTACATTTGCTCTGCCTTCTTTTCAGACCAAAATTATTCCATTTTTGTTTTAATTAGCTTGTAAGGCTGAGGTTTTCCTTGAAATAAAATTTAAGCATGCTATTATGAAAAAAGGGCAAGACTTCCATTTGCTGTTAAGTAAATCATCAGTATCAGCATACTTAGCAGAAGCTGAGCTCTGTTTGATGGCGGTTTATTGCCACTGATATCACATTTTTCAATTGTTTGATGATATATAAAGGTGAATCTGGTTTGTTTTTATATGTATTGCTTGTTCTATTGCTTTTAAGGAAATTTGTTGCCGTTACAATGTTATGTATATTTCTAGGCAAGGCAGCATAAACCCAAGGCAATTGCAGCTTCAGGTTCAGGAGCTGGAGCCCCTGGCAAAGTTCCTAACAATTCAACTTTTGGTCAAGATGATCTAATGCCTTCTTCATTGAGTCAAGTGGATGCTTCAGTGTTGAAACAACTGCCGGAGGATTTGAAAACTGACATCCTTGGGCAGCTTCCTGAGCATAGGAGTCAAGCGTTTTGTTCTAATTCTGTTTTGACTCCTCTTAAAGAAAACCATCTGGAGTCATCAGTCAATACTTCTGAACATCATCCGGGATCAAGTGATCCTGTTTCAAATGGGAATGACAGTCTTTGGGTTGGGAGTCCTCCTCATTGGGTTCATAAGTTTAAAGTCAGCGATTATTTAGTATTAAAGAAACTTGCAGAAGTATATGAAAAATCAGGGGCCTATAACTCTTTCTCTTTTGTTTTGCACCAAAGTATGTCCGAATTTAGACGGCTAGATCCTGCTTCTGAGAGTTCTGATGAAACCATCAACTTCATGTTTGAGCTCCTGAAGCAGTATATCGAATCAAAGATAGAGAAGGATATTGAAGAGATTTATATTTGTATCCGGCTTCTCAGAAGGTATGTCTTGATGTGTTCTATTGAATGTCACCTTTCATGTTTGTAAATGAGCAGGCGCACACATATGTGTATGTATATTTACTTTCCTAATCATGTGAAATTATTATCTATTTTGTTCATTTTCATTTATCTAATTTGCATGATTGTAGAGATGAGCTGAAGTTGACCTAGCACTGTTTGAAGTGAGATTAATTTATGTTGATTTGACCAAAAAGTAAGATGTTAGTGTAGGGAGGATTTTTGGAAAATATTTTAGACTTTTGAACTCTACCACATCTTTTTATCAATGACACAGTTCGTAAAGAATTTCACTATGGTATTGCCACGGATATAGGACATGAAAATAATGGAATTATGGATACTGTTGGAGTGCATTTGAGTGTTGTGTTGGGTCATACATGCATTCAGAATGATACAATTTTATGCTGGTTCTTCTCTGGGGAATTACATGGAATAGTTGTAATCATTGTTATATTGAATACTGGATTTTTCTCTTGCCTTTTCGTTATTTTGACATTCTTTATCGTAACTCAAAGTCAATGTCAGGTTTGCAGCAAAGTCACAATTTTTCCTACACGTGTATGATATGGTTTTACCTTATCTCCAGGTATGCCTGCTTTCTCTCCTGTTGATGACTGTCAGACATGCACACATGCACATAGAAGGACAAGGGGGAAGGTTCACCTTAGTTGTTTTAATGGAACTAAATTTTAGTGCATGATCTATATCCAAATGTTATATGAGAATGAGAGCGGGCACTTGGTTGTTCCTGTTTTTAAATCCTTGAAAAACGTAAACTGCTCTTGTAAAACATTTTTGTATATGCAATTTCTTTTCGTCTACATCTAGCCATATATGGTCAAAATTGGTTCATTCTGTGTTTACTGGCTAATTTTTTTTAGACTTTTAATATGCTAGTGTTTTACGTCTTGATTTGCATAGGAAATGCCGAAATAGTGATGTACACAGATTTTAAGTACATTTATTGGGTTAGCAGTCTTTCTTGATGTCAGTAGGGATGACAACTTCAAGGACTAGGCTGTTGAGATACCTCCCTGAGAATAATAATACATATTATCAATGACCTTCATCACCCTTTTATTCCTTATACATTTGAATCTATTTTGTTTCATCGTTTCTGAAAATTGTTTGAAGTAGTAATTCTTAAAAGGAATTCTCTCTTTTAGTTGAACTGAATTAATTTATAATCACCAAGGACTAGTTGGAGACGCAAAAGGAATAAGTTTGCAGTTAGGAGGCAGAAAAGAATAAAATTCCCCTGAAACTAGGAGACTAGTAACTGACTCTACTGACTTTTGAAGTTAATAGTTGTCCACATGTTAATCCTAAAATATAGGTTTTCTGGGTCAATCATTAAGATATGTTGAAATAATTTAAATATATCCAAATAATCCAAATGTAGTAATGTTTATTTGAGATTTGATTCATGTTTTCTCTATGTTGTTTGATTGATGTATTGGAAATATTTATCTTGACGCCAATAATTTGTTTCACCTTCTTCATGCTTATGTGTCAAGAATTTTTCTTATAGGCAGCTGTTGATGATTACTATGGAGGGAGCTTGCTTATACCATCATAGTAATACCGGAATATCATAGGGTGCGAAACTTCCTCCTCCATATTATCCAATTGGAATGTGTGAGGCACAAAGCAATCGTTGCCATCAGCCATCCTACATTGACATCCTGCAGAATATGCATAGCTCTGCAACGTCTGCAGGATATGTTCTTATTTTACCAGTTCAAGGTCTATATAGGTAATTAAACATCTATTTTAAATTTTGATTTTTCAAATTTTGTCTTTATTTGATATAGGATAGACTCTTCCATCCATGCAACTACATTTTGGAATGCTTTTTCAGTCAAAAATTTTTTCTTATACCTCTGTCTTGCTCGGCATATTAAACTGCCGGAATTCTGTGTTTAATGATATTAAACTACATGAATTTTTGTATTTTAGTTTTTTTTTTGTGGTGCAATTTTGATTGCGCAAGTCCTTTGTGGTCCATTTGATCATTTATGGTCTTAACTCTGACAATGTATATTTATGATTATAGCAAAGCTTTGTTTCCTTACGCTTGAGTGCATCTTTAATTTTTCATGATTTTATAGGTTTGCATTCACAATGCATCCCAACAGCTTGCTGCTTCATTCTTTAGATTTTATAATCGAAGGTGTTCTTTCTAATATCTTACTTCCTCTCTTCAATAATGTCCATGAGCAAATGGATGTTTGCTTCTTATGTCGGCTGCTTACGTAACTTAATATTTTCTTTCTGTGTGTAACCCGAGTATCTTCTCTTGATATTATGACTAGTTGACGACTGGCTACTGGGCATTTTGCATCCTTGTTATGAGCTTCCAAGTGTGAACCCCTAGTTAAATTCTTGACCCACCTTATATTTCTTCTAATTGTCTCTTGTCCATTTGTGAATACACATACAAGCATGTGAGGGACTCAGGGACAGGTGCCTCTACACGCATGCACATTTATTCATATAAACAATTTGAAAATGTGCTAGTATACGCTTGAATACATTTATAAACATACACTTGTGTGTACACACTTAAATAGACATATACATGCATGCTTGGGAATACATTTTAAACCTTACTGTTGTGTGTTGTGACACATTTTATAAAATCTTCGACAGTTCTAAAATCTTTGTTATTTTGTTTTTTGTTTTAAATAATAAATTTAATACGTTCATTCATTTTTTAAATATTTTAACAGCTTCATTTTATCTCTGTACTTAGACAGGGATGGTCACAGTTGGAAGAATGAGTGGCATTTCCCGAGACAAGTTTCATTTGGACGGAGTTAGACTTGCAAAAGGTGGAAGATGAATTAATTTTCTGAAAGGTATTCATACCGAAAAGGTTTTCCCAGTCCAATGGAGCGTCTTGATGCGAATGGCTATGCACTACCACTATTTCGCCCTTGATGAGATGGGCAGCCTGACCAGAAACTCCATTCTCCTGAAGACGAGCTGATTCAATTTGCTTTGGATTTGTCATCGTTGGGAACAAAAGTATATAACGTTAAGAAAAGAGTTAGGTAATTGACTTTTGTATTTGGATCAACAGATGAATAAGCTTAGTCACTACTGATTCAGATGGAGTCTGAAGTCTTCCCAGATTGCTCCCTATGGCTTTAGACCATTTGGACATGCAGTGATAGCAAAAGAAGCATTATTATTGCATCATTTATTAGAATGCCGCCAGTGGACTAGTTCAAAGTTCATGGCCAGATCCCAGTCTTTTTTAAATACTGGTTTGTCCAAGCACGCGTTTTTGTGCTTTGAATCGACATTACTTGACTGGACTGCCTCACCGAAGGCTTGAATGAATGCTCTTGATATTTACTTGTGGGTGTGAATTCCTAGTTCCTTTTTTTTGTTTTGTTTATGGTAATGCATAGAGTCATAGAGTTGAATTCAGGAATTCAAATTTATTTATTTGCAAAGTCTTTGTAACACACAAAAAAAATGAGATCTCATTTTTTATATGCTAAATAATCACCGATATATTAGGAAAATTATGCATTCAATCCTT